GCCGCCGCCGCCGCGGCTGCACCCCGCGGCGGCGTCCGCGGAGGGTCCCCGCCGCCGCCGCCGCCGCCGTCGCCGCCGCCGTCCTCATGGCACCCCTGCGCGGCCCTCTCGCCGAGCGCCGCCGCTGCCGCCGCTGCCGCCGCCGCCCTGCCCTTGCGCGGCAGGTCCCACGAGGGGATCTCGGTATCAAAGCCCTCCAACGGATCGTAGTACTCTGTAACAATGCAGGCCGCAGTGCACTGCGCGTCCTCATCAGCGCAGCTGGCAGGCCAGGGGGCCGCCGCGCCCCCGTGGCCGCTGCCGTTGCAGCTCGAGGGGCCGGGCGAGCGGAGGCAGGACCATCGGCGCGTCTGGCGCAGCGGAACAAGGCGCGGCTGCTGCTGCTGCTGCTGCTGCTGCTGCTGCTGCTGCTGCTGCTGCTGCTGCTGCTGCTGTTGCTGTTGCTGCTGCTGCCGGGTTGGCGTGCGGGGCCGCGGCGCCGCCAGACCGCCGAGCGCCGCGGCCGCGGCCGTGCGTGTGGGGCCGTCCGGAACCGTCGGTACGAAGCAGAGAGCGGCGCCGCCTGCTGGCGACGACGCGGCCGCGACCGCGCCCACCCGCCGCGGCGACAAGCCCAGCCAGCCGTCCCCGCCCGCAAACACTGGCGACGACGGCCCCGCTGTCGCCGGCGCAGGCGCGCGCCCCGTGGCGCGAGGAGCGGCCGCCTGCAGCCCCTCGCGCGCCGGCGCCGCTGCCGCCGCGGCGGCCACGGCCGCCGCCAGCCCGCCAGCCTCTGCGAGGCGCTCCTCGGAGATGCGTCGCCGCTCGGTCGCCACCGCCTGCGCGCGGCTCAGCAGCGGGACCGCCAGGCCCTCGGGCGCCAGAGCCGCGTTGAGCGCGGCGAGCGCTGCGTCGAAGTCCAGCAGCGGCTCACGCGCCGCCAGCTCGAACACCGCCGCCGGCGGCGCCGCCGCGGCGGCGTCCTCCGCCGCCAGCCGCGCCGCGGAGGCTGCGGGGCGGCCAAGCGCCGCGGCGGCGGCGCGGAGGTCGAACAGCGGCAGCAGCACGACGGATCGCACGCCGCAACGGCGGATCTGCAGCTCTCTGTCTGCCTCTGCTGCCGCGGCGGCGGCGGCGGCGGTGGCACCGGGGGGCGGCGCCTCGGCCGCGTCGCGCGGCGCGCCCGGCTGCAGCGACGCGTACACCCGGCCAAGAGCGCAGCCCGCGCCGCCGCGCGCGGGGAAGGCGTGGCGCGAGGACGCCAGGCGGTACAGTGCCAGCTGGTCGCTGGTGCCGATGAGGCAGTACGGCGCGCCCTGCGGTTGGGGCCATGCGCGCGTTATAAGGAGCGTGGGGCGGCGTGTGAGCGGGGCCATGCCGTCGGCCGAGGGCTGCTGGCGGAACCATGTGTTGTGCAGGCGCGTGGTTAGATCGTGCAGCTCCCCTGGCCGGCCGTTGCGCTGCACGCTGCGCGATCACTCGATGGGGTGCTGCTGCATTCAGCGTTGTGCCGAAGCGCCACCTCGGGCATCCCCAGCGCCAACCGCTGCTCGCCTTTGTTGATAGATAGGGGGCCTTACCAAGCGCTTGATCCTCCAGCAGCCATACCTGCGCCGATGTGTAAAGGGGTTGACGCGACGTAAAGCCCGCCGAGCCTGACGGCGGACACCATAGCAGCGCCGCATCGTGCCGGCAAGGGCTCACCTGAGCCAAGGCTCCGTCCCTCGCAGCTGCACTGTAAGTTGTGAAGAATGCATTCAAGCCCCTGGCCAGCCGCTGCTTGAGCTCGGCCCCGGGATCGGGACCAGCAGCGGGCCCCGGAGCGGCTAGGCCCGTCATGTGACTATCATATGCCAATAGTTATGATAGGCTGCTGTCTCAGATGCCGGGGTGAGCTCCGAAAGGCGGGAAGAGCTCATAGTCGATCTGGGGAACACTCTCGTCAGGGGCAGACGACGTTTTCTGGGTTCGAGTAAGCGATGTTTGTGTTTGAGTGCATTACGAGAAACAATTGTGCATCTGCATGCCCCTCAATCTCCATCTTGCGACTTCACTGTCAATCTTCTCGACGCGTCCAGGTCGGATGCAGACCAAGAAAAGCAGGCCTGGGGCGGCGGGAGGCGGCAGCATTGGGGCAAGGGAGAGCGGAACGAAACAAGCAGGCCAGCCTATGATAATGTTGCGGTGAGCATCTTCACATGGGTGCAGTCCAAGGTGGACTGCGCTGGGAACTCTACGAAGGACTAGCGGCGGCAAACCTGCGCGGCAGACGGCGAGAGGGTACAGGTTGAAGGCTGGGAACGCAAATGTGACATGATCTTCCTTTGGGTTTGCCTCCCTCCAGGGCCTAGTGTCACATTAATGCATTGTGCACAAAATTGTGTGAGAATCCAGGCGAACACCACAAGTGAGCGAGCTCAGCCCCACCTAAGCAGACAGCGGTGGCGTATTAGCCGCCAGTGGTGTCGTGGATGACCAGCGGCGCTGGCGACTGGACCAAAGGGCAAGGCGTCGTCGGAGCAAGTGCTCCGGTGCTTGCCACTGCCCAGGCGGGGTTTGCTGCTGGTGGCACTCGCAGCCGGGGCAGCACAGATTCCTTTGCAGGCACTGGCACAGGGCTGCTGGTGATTATGCTCCCTGCAGAGGGTGCTCCCTGCATAGTTTACACCAGCAGCTGTGCACTTCCTGGCCCCGACCCCGATCAGCCCCCACCCCGACCCCAACCGCCTTTCAGACATCTGCGTCACGCAGTGCACCACACGTCACCTCGCTGCTGCAGATGGCAAGGCGTCCCTCTCGGCATCCGTGCATGCTTGTGCAGAGCCTATGGTTGCAACCTGTCCAAGGGGGGGTTGTTGGCTGCTTGTGCGTGTGCAGTGACCGGGGCTGGCCCGTCATGCGGCTCACGACGCGGAGCTCAGAAGAAGGGTTATGTATGCGGGCGAAGATTATTCGGCTTTGCACGCCTTCAAGGGTGGCACTGATGCTTGTCGGGGGGGGCGTGGGGAGCGGCTGCCCAGCAGAGGCATGCAATGCCAGCCAAGGTGAAGTTGGCGGTCCACCCCTGTGCTTTCACCAGTGACCCTTCACAAAGACGATTTTCTGCATGGATGCCTTACCTTCGCACACTCAACACCCAAAGTAACCCGGGGGCCCTATCGGACTTGGAAAAGACGCGCAGCAGCCGACCCCCGACACAGCATCCTTCAACGTATACTCAGCGAGCCCTGTCTGATTTCAGTGGTATATACGTATAGTTGGCTTTTATCTGGTTGTTGGACGGCAGAAAACCGATCCGCGCACGCAGTTGGCGCTCATTGTTTGGCGGACTCGCCAGATTCGGGCCGGACAGCCTGGTCACAGCCATTTTTCTTATAGAATTACAGGCGCCTTGAAAAACACAACCAGTGCCACCACGCGTGAACCGTTCTAAGAGGCCTCGCGGCGGCAACTGCGGGCGCCGCCGCCCCAAAAGACGCCGACTCGAACGCCGCAAGCGACGCCCGGTCGCCCTCGGCCCCGGGCCAACTCTTAGAACACACACTGCAACAGCAGCGGCGCGGCGGCAGCGCTGCGGCCGCCATGCTGACCGCTCTCGCGCCCGCCAGCCTGCAGCGGCGCGTGGGCAGCATGGACCTTCTCAACATGGTCGTGCCCCTCGGCCTCCGCCCCGCCAGCAGCCTCGACGCCGCGACCGCCACCACGGTGCAGCGCCGCAACCTCCTCCAGACCGCGTACGCCACCGCGCCGGTCTTCCTGCTGACCGGGCTGCAGGGCGCCGCCGCCGTGCTCTGGCGGCTCGCGGGGCGCCCGCACCCGCACGACTGGACGCTGCCGGAGGAGCTGCTTATCACGCTCATGCGCACGCTGCTTGAATACGGCGACATCGCCGTGTGGCGGGGCTTCTTCAAGAACGTCAGCCGCCCCATCAGCATGCCGTCCGACCTGGTGATGTCACCCGCGCCGCGGCCCGGCAGCAAGAGCCTGTGGTTTGCGCTGCGTCCGGAGCTGCGGGTGGTGGAGCCGAGGGGCAGCGTCAACATCCTGTTCATACACGGTGGGCGTGAAAGCGTCTGTGCGCGTGCGTGCATGTGTGCATGGGCATGCGCGGTGGGCTTGAGAGTTGCATGGCGCAGCGCGCGGCGGGCTGGACTGCTGGACTGCACGTGATGGTGGTCGGCGGACTGGGTGAAACCGGGTGCGGTTTTGAGTGCGCGGCCGGCTGACCGTTCCTGCTCGGACGCCCTTGCCGCCTCGTGTCGCAGGCGGCGCGTTCATATCCGGCTCGGCGCGGCAGTACCAGGCCACCTACTGCTTTTGGTGCGCCACTTACTCTGGAGGGCCCCGAGCGGCAGACCGGAGCAGCGCAGCCTCGGCGGGGACGCCGGCGGCCGCGGGCTCTAAGCATGCTCTTGCATGCCAGCTGCTGACTGCCGGCGTTGCCCTAATTAAGTTACGGCAGCGGCTGGGCTTAGCGCAAGGCAGGTGCCCATGTAACCTCACTCACGCATCAAGCGCGCCATCAACCCAAGCCCTCCCCGCCGCGGGCCTGGCACCCCACTCTCCCCTCCCTTCTCCGGCCCCCAGGCTGAAGAAGCTCGCGCGCCGGGGCATCGCCGCCAAGGTGCTCAGTGTCGGCTACCCCCTCGCGCCAGAGCACCCCTACCCAGCCGGGCGGTGAGCCTTGACATTGGGCGGCGCCGCCCAGACGGGCCCCCAGCCCCATCGCCCGACGCGCCGCGCCCGGCGCTGCGACCTTGCCGAGACGTCCTGTGCCCTTGCCGCCCAGTTCGCCCTCGTCTGAGCGTCGCCCTGCCTCTTCATCTTCCAGGGACGCGTGCGAGGAGGAGATCAGATGGATCATGTCCCGCGACTCGGGCGAGATCGCCCCTGTGATCGTCGGTGAGCACACGCGCCCCTCCAGCTCCCACGCGCGCGCGACGCCCCTCATGCCCCCAAAGTTTTCGGGCAGCGCGGCCCCTGCGCAGCAGGCGGGTCGCGGCTGGCCCGACCCTTGAGGCGATGTGGCCTGCGCAGCTCGTGCTGTGGTTGCGAGCGCATCGGCACTTGTGGCCTCGGGATTACAATGCGATAGACATATCTCGTGACGATGCTGCACTTGCTGACACCACCCTGTTCGCCCCGCCCTGCCCAACCCTGCCCGATGGCGCCCCGCCAGGCGGCGACTCTGCGGGCGCCAACCTGGCGCTCTCCGCCCTCAGCCACATGCGCGACACCGGCCGCCTCCCCAAGCCGCCGCTGGGCACGCTGCTGGTTTCGCCGTGCGTGGACCTGTCGCCCACGTGCATCCTGTGCCGCGACAACGAGCCAGGGGCGGGGTCGCACGACTACCTGCCAAAGGAGAAGCTCAGCTTCGGGCTGCCCTTCTTCTATGCAAAGGTGCGGCCATCCGGAAAGGCCTGCTTGCCGCCGCCTTGTGCACACGCGTTTGGGGGCCGGATCGCCAGCGCCACAGGAGCGGCCGCGTGCACGAGTAAGCTCCGGCCCGTGCAGGCTGTGGCCGTCCCGTGTGGCCGCCCGCGTGCGTGGCGGCGTAGGTACACGCCTCAATGCGGGATGACTTCCCCCACCCCGGCTCAACCGAACGCGGGTCTCTCGAAGCCGCACCTCTCTTCTCCGCCGCCCCTCCTCCCTCCGTGCAAAACCCCCTAGCGCTGGTCACTGTTGCCCTGCACCTAAAACCCTAAACCCACTGCTCCGCCCCGCCAACAGGACCTGACGTCGCCCTACGTGTCCCCCACGCTGCTGGACTCCCTGGACGGCCTGGCCCAGCGCGACATCCTGCTCATCAGCGGCGGCGCAGAGGTGACCAGGGCGACGCCCACAACTACACGCGGGGCACGGAACACGACGGCACAGTGCAGCGCAGGTCCCTTCGATTGCTAAGGACGTCCGCTTTGTGCCGCCCAGCGCCGGGTGTTGGCCCTTCCCCAAGGAAGCTTCCATGTCATCCTTTCCTCCCGTCCTCCCTCTGCTGGCCCCGCACACATCTCCTTCCCCCCTACAACCGTCTCCAAGCAACCCTTATCAACCCCAGTCCCCCCCACTCGGCGGCCCCGGTGCGCACGCACGCCCTCCCTTTGCCTCGCAGCTGATGCTCACCGACATCCGGGTATTCGCCAAGAAGCTGCAGGCCGCGTCTGACGCGTCCATCGCAAACAGGGGCGCCGCCGGCTTCAGGCTGACGTACTGGGAGGAGCCCGGCCGCGTGCACAGCTGGCCCATGCTGCCGCTGTCGCACCTGAAGGGCAAGCAGGAGCCGATCTTCCAGTTTGTGGAGCGCGTCCTGGGGCTGCCCGCGCTGGAGCGCGGCGCGCCGCGCGCTTGAGGGCGGCCGCTTTATGCAGCAGCCGTGCAGGCCCGTCGGGACGCGCTTTCTGCCCTGGCGCCGTGCACGCGTTGACAGCTGCACCATCCTTTGTTCAGGGCGCGCTGGGCAGCCGCGCCCAAGGGCCGGACTCGCAATTGTTTCAGGCATTGACAGCCGGCTGCATTGAATAGACACTTAGGCCTTTTGCAGCCCCTTTGCGGCAGCGGCGCGCCTGCACTCCCTTGCCTTGTGCCGCGCGCCCCCTGTGACATAGCTGCGTGCGGGCCAGCAGGCAGGCGGGCGCGCCCTTTGCTGTCCCCCCC